TGAATTATGAGCTCATTCATACCACCCATATCAAGTTTTAAGCTTTATCTTTCATTTTATCCTGTAAGAAATCTCATATGCTATGTTTTACATTGGTTTGCTATTTGGTATTCCATCATACCCACACTGTGTAGAACTGTATGAATCAACCTCAGCTTATTTTTCCATTCTACTGTTGATGAGCATTTGGGTAGTGTCATTAGTACATGAAAAAATGAAATGTCATATTGACACTCGTTTGCATAGACACAGCATTTTAAAGTTTTGTATTGAAATATAATATAGAGATGAATATATCATAATAACATAACTAGACAAATTTTTACATACTAAACATACCAGAACCAAAAAATAGAACACGACCAGGTTCCCAGAAGCCCTCCTTGTGCTCCCTCTTAGTTGTCATCTCCTGTCAAGGGTAAGCACTATCCTGGCCTGTGTGAGTTTGTTTGTGTATTTTGTACAAATGGATTCCTACAATACTTATTTTCATGTGTCTCAGTTTTTCCACCTACCATAATTGGGAGGTTCATTTGTTATTGTAACTTGAGAAGGTTGCTCATTCTTAATGTCATAGCATATGTTCTGTTGTATGAAGAATCTACACCAATTGTCCACTTAACTGTTGATGAACATTTGGATCTTTTCCAGTTTGGGGGTTATTATGAATAGGGCTGCTATGAGCAGTTTAATATATATTTTGGTAAACATTTGACATTGGTGCGTTCCTAAGAATGGAGTTGCTGGTTCTGTGGGCTTCCATATGTTTAATTTTAGTGGATGCCTCCAGTTTTTTCAAAGTGATTGTACTAAGTACACAGCATTTGACTATTTTTTTTTAAACTGGGGCACTTTACCACTGAACTACATCTCCAAACCTTTATTTATTTTTTTTAATTTGGAGACAATGTCTCCCTAAATTGTGCCTGTTGACCTTGAACTTGTGATCCTCCCTCCTCAGCCTCCCCAATCTTAGTGAGATTACAGGAAACCGCTCCTGTGACTGGCAAGCATTTGACTTCTTGAAGAAACATTCTAGGGAAGATGTTTCAGCATAAACACTAATAGAACAAGTTTTGGAGTCACTCAGACCAAATTTAGCCTACCTCTAAACTGCTGTGCCACCTTGGACAAGATACTTAACTTTAAGCCTCAGTTTACTTAACTGTAAAATAAGTGCAGTACAAAAAAGTCTTTGTTAAAATCTGTGACAATTGGGATTTTTTAAAAAAACCTTTTTTCTATTTATTTATGTTGTGCTGAGGATTGAACACAGGGCCTCACACGCACTATGTGAGAGCACTCTACCGCTGAGCTACAACCCCAGCCCCAACAATTGAGATTTTAATGCACTTTGGATAATGCCTAACTCATAGTAAATTCTTAGCTTATACATGGTAGTTATTAATCATTTGTTAGTGATTCAAACAGACAAAATGGAGAATTAGAAACAAATATTAGCAAACTAATCCACAAATAATTTTAATTCTGATAGAAGAAAACTGAAATTCTGACCCAAGAAAGGAATTACCAATTCCAGTGAGTACTACACTTGCACCCTGAAAAAAAATCATTTAAACATTATCCAAAAATGCATTTGCAAATTACTCTTGCCAGAGGCAAGGTTCTTGGATGCAGAGCATTACCATCCATTTTTTTTCCTACCAGATATTACTCTTTAAAGCCAGGACTGCCCAGGGCTACTCTGGAAAGTCACTAATATAATACCTTTTATTATATTTGCCAATTTCACACCTTCCTCAGCCTAATCCCCAAAGTTGTTGAAAAGTGACTATAATTGGGCTGTTAGTTCAGTTTTCTTAGAATCTTGTATCTAAGACAACTTTTGGATCCCTAAAATTGAGTCCAAGTCCTTGCTTTAAATGACAAAGAGCTTGCCTTTATTTTGTGGGATGAACTTGATGACCTCTTGTTTTCAGCATCCTAGAAGTTAACACTCTGTACAGAGGTCCTGTTTAGCCAATTGCTCCAGGAGCTGCAGGCTCAGTCAGCTTAGGGAGGTAATTTTGGAAGGTGGCATTGTGTTTGTTCCTAACAAATTGAAACAGATCCCATATACCAGGCACTATTTTCAAACAATAAAGCACACGATCTTCTTGAAATTATGTAATTTTTGAGTCGGTAGTGGTAGACCTGAAAGGGCACTTTGTGAACATTTAATTGAAGTTCTTTGATTTACAAGATAGAAAATTAGTCATTTAGAAGTCTCACCCAAGGTCAAAGGATTTCTTCCCTGTACAGGCATAAAGCTTGACTTCTAATTCTCAGTCCAGACCATCTCTGCAACTGGTATCTTGAATCCCCTGCACCCTGCACCATTACTTCCACTCCTATTTTAGACAGATGCAGACCTGGGATATAGTGGTGGGGAAGCTGGAGTGTAACTTAAAAATAGGGAATGATAAATCATGAACTT